CTCTTCGCTTTATTGGATATTAATCATTTGTACAATTATAAATTTTGCACAGTTGTGTGCTTTAAAGATTTAAAAAAAAAATCTTAAAATTTAATCCATTGCATAAAATATTAAAATTCATATGGTACAACAACTTTTTATAAACTTGTGCGATTTTAAAGAGCAAGTCATTTTCTTATTTAAAAAAACTGATATTAGAAAAAAAAACCGTTAAAAAATATAAGCTTTTCTCCTATCTTTTGCCTACTTAATTAGTTTCAACATACATTTCGAAAAACTGCGTTTTTTACGGGTTCTTACTTAGCAGATACCATTTGAGAAACAAATTTATAATAGGTATTTAATGAGAACAAAAGAAATGAAATATTTCATGGGTAATTAAGATTTTTTTTCTATACAAAGAGGAACTAAAAAGATTTTTTTTTAAAATTACGCACGAAAAGCATTTTAAATTGAAATTTATGAATATCTAAGAAACAATTTTTTTAAATATAAACTGAAGAAAGGAAGAATGTAGTCTTAAAAAAAATATTAAGTATAACATTATTTTGTTTCTTTTTTTTAAAGCAGGAAAGTGACATAGACGGCCAAAAAAATTCCTGCAACTAAGTTAGAGCAATTAACAGGCATTTTATATTTTATTTTATAACCGTCGTTGAACAACAGACCCAGATTTTCGGGTATAAGATTACTAAGTTTAACTCCGTAGCCTTGTAATTTTGAAGCCAATTCAAAAGACGAGGGAACTCCTGGATCAAGTATTGGAAGAAATTTGCCTTCATTTTTACGGAACTAAACAACATTTACGTTACATGGAGAGGAAAACCACGAAAACCTCCCACCATTAGCCTGATGGAAAGGGGACTCTAAACCATGATCCGTCTACCACCGAGGATATTTTACGTCGGTACTGTGGTCGGTGCAAGCCGGATGCGGAATTCATATCGACAACCATCGCTGGGATTCGAACCCGGTTCCCCTCATTGGAAGGTGAACGCTCTATCCCCTGAGCCATCATGACCCAATCTATTGGTATTAATAATATTTGTAGTCAGTAATTATTATCATTAGATAGCTGCTATTTATGACATTGTGACGCCTTAATCTCCGTGACCCTTTTGGCCCTCAACAGGTGGAAAGAATTTTTTCGCCATAATTCTGGAACTGTTCAAGCAAATCCAAACTTTTGCTCAAAATTATAAAAATAATTATCCAAAGATGAAACCACGCAAAGAATTTTTATGCTTTAAATATCCATTATTTTACTTAATATTGATGATATTCTAAATTATTATTACATTTTAATTGTGCTTTGTTTGCTCATAATTTTTTATTCAATATTCTATTTAATATTTACTTTTTAATTTAATATAGATAAAAAATATTTTAAATTTAAAGCATGAAAATTTTATATCAATTTAATCAGCTAAATCTGAAATTTTAATATTTCCGGAGCTGTTTTAAAAAAATTTCTGCTCTAAAATATTTGTTAGAAGTGTGTAAAGAATTTCCTTGCGATATTAGTTTCTTTCATTTAATTTAATATCGATTATATTTTGATTTTATTATTTTTTACTTAATTTCAATCAATTTTTATTCATTATTTAATTGAACATGAAATTAACTTGACATTAAATTAATTTAACATTGATTATTACATTTAATATTATTTAATTAAATATTTATGTTAAATATTTTGAATTCACGTATGAAAATTTTATACTATTTTTCATTGAGTTCAAAATTATATAAAAATTTTCCTACCTTAAAAACAAAATTTTTATGGTATTATTTATTTTCATTTCTGATGATTGTAAAATATAATGAAAAATCCGCATTAAATATGTCAGAAAACATAATATAGTTGAAAATAATACTTGAAAAAGTTCAATTTTATTTATTTTTATTTGTTATTTTAATTATTACTTTTTACATTAATATTAATTAAACTAATTGTTCTGAAATATTGTAACATTACTTTTGATAAGGTCCCATATGGAAACTGAGTTCCCTGCTTTTCTTTATTGTTTGAACCAGAGTTGGCCGTCGATTACAGTAATCGATTACAGCTGTAATTGATTACAGATAATTACCGTTATGTAATCAATTTCTTGTAATCGCGATTACATGTAATCATGATTACAAGTAATCATAATTTTTGATTACATCAGAGAGCAAAAATGTAATAGATTACATTTTTCACTTACAGTAATCAATTACTTGTAATCATAATTACAAATTTTGATTACAACTGTAATCATGATTACATTACTCAATTACAGTAATAAATTGCTTGTAATCATAATTACAAACATTCATAATCTTGATTACAACTAATCAAAATGTATGATTACAAGACTATTGTATACTTATATATGATTATATTTTACATAGTATAATGTACCGTATAATGATACATTTTGTACGATTTACATACAGCGTATGTACGAATGAATATAACTAAAATGTATGTACATATGTACTGTACTGATTACAGTTGTAATCAAAATTTTGATTACAGCTGTAATCAAAATTTTTGAAAGTTGTAATCACAATTAAAAGTAATTGATTATTGTAATCGACTATTGTAATCACGATTACAGCTGTAATAAAAGTTGTAATCACGATTACAAGTAATTGATTACTGTAATCGTTTGCTGAAATCACGATTGCAGTTGTAATCAAAATTAAGTTATCTTGTAATCATGATTACAAGTAATTGATTACAGTAATCGAAAAATGTAATCGATTACATTTTTGTCCAACTCTGGTCTGAACTGCCCATGTTGCATCTTCTAAGTGTTATATTTCCTTTTATTTTTGTCTGCCTGTCCTCTAGGCTACCATTTTATATGGTATTATATGGAGGTAGTTGGCATTTGTTAATTTTGCGTGCAGTTACAAAGACCATTTTTTTTGTAAGTTTGTAAGTAAAATGCTGAAAGCAACATCCAAATTTACATGAGTTATAATGATTTAATTTTAACTTTTATGAATCAACATTTTTTCAACTGTTTTAAATTTTTAGCAGAAATTAAATAAAAAAATATATATATTGTTGAACGCTGAAAGAAGAATGCTTTTCTTTGAATGCTTCGTGCGCAATGCCAGGAACTGTCCAAATTTTCAGAGTTAGATTCCATTTTTAACGGTAATAAGGCACGAACAAAAAAAATTTTAAAAAATATATCAAAGTCAACATGACTTTAAAAGAAAGAGAGAGAGATAACGTGAAAAATCTACCAAAATCACGTTTTAGATGAAAGAAAATTATCAAAAGGAAAGAAAGTGTTGTATTAAAAAAAATATTGTCGAAAAGGGAATCGAGCTAAGTAAAAGGAAGTTGAGACGGACGTGCCTTGAAAATCATTCTTGTATTTTTGATCTGAGTTTGGCAGAGATGAAGGGAGAGGAGTTTACTTCAAGGAACCAAGAGGAGATCGATTTAAAAATATTTTTCGAAAGCCATGGCGGAAATAGTAGAAAAGAGAAAGCGCTATAGGAAAGCTTAAGTGTTTTCTAAATTGTTGTTCGGTTTTACAAATCGATATTAAAACTGAATATCTCTAAAGCGGTTGAATTTTTTTGGTGAAACCAATGTGATGTCTCCTAAAAAGGAAAAAAAATGTATCGTGAATTTTTATGCAAAATGAATTTTGCTAATTTAAACTTTCTAAAGCAGTCATCAAGGAGCCGGGGTAGCCTGGTAGGCCGGGCTCTGCGCCCATGTCCAAGAAGTCGCAGGTTCGATCCCCACCGGCCGAAGACTCCCCGTGTAATAAATGGCGACTGATGCACGTTAAATCTGTCGAGTCACAAAGTCCTTAATGTTCCCATAACAAATCATACCACTTGGTTCAAAATTACAAGGCTACGGAGATGAACATTAGTAGTCGTAAACTCAAAATTGAGTCGGCTGCTCAACGGCGGTTATAAAATTAAAATAAAATAAAAAGTCATGAAATTTTCGACGAAAGAATTAGATAAAGGAATTTTATTTAATTTGATTAAAGTTAAGAATGTGAAATATCCTTATAAAGTGTTGTATTATTGTAAGATTGTGGTTAACATGAGAATGATCGTCATTTAGAGTTTTTTAAAATACCTTTATCCATATATACATAAAAATTAATGCCTGTCTCCATCCGACCGAGAGCTATGAAATTTGGCCTACTGATAGTTCGAGGCACAAAGAAGGTCACTATCGACTTTTAAAGATTCTACTTCGAGCAGTTCGAGAGGGACGAGTGATTAACGAAGTGGAATTTCCTGATTGGTTAAATGTTAGCCATTGTTTTAAATTCTAATTTACGATTCTATTTTTCAAATATTTTAAAGATGATAAAATCAGCAATATTTGTTAGCTATAGAATTATTAATTAAAATAGAAAAGCGATGTACTACTTATCAGTTTGGGGGAACCGTAGAAAATAGCCATATGCAGATGACCCTTAATTATTTTGTAATTTTTAATTGGTACAGTTAGTATTACGGTGCAGTTTTAATAAGAATTCTACAATGGATTTTCCGTAGTTTCAGAAGAAGAAAAAATTTCCAGTAGTAGCAAAGATAGTATATTAACGTTTTAAAGAATAGGAATTAAAAGTTATTTGTTTAAAATAATTAGACCTTTATAATATGAATAATATATATGAAAGAAAAAAACTAATGGATGAAACAAACCAGTTTTCTTAGGTTATTCAAATCAGATAAAACAGCTCCTTTACGCTATCCAAAATAGGATTTAATTATAATTTTATTCATTAATTTTGTAAATCTCATGAAACTTGTTATATTCATCTTATTAAAGTCTTATTAGAGTATTTATATTCATCTTCACAATGTATTTAATTAGTTTAGAATGATTTAAATTTCGCATGTTAATGTGTATTAATTAAGAGTGCATAAGTATACTTATTAATGATGATTAATAGTTATTTAATCAAGAAATGTATTCAAGTAAAGTGCAAATAGTAGTTATTTTTGTGTTTCTTTTTCAGAGCTTTAGAATACTGCCTTGATGTCGGTAACATTAATCTTTCTGCGATTAGGACAATCCGAGTACTTAGACCGCTCAGGGCAATCAATAGAATACCAAGTAAGTTCTAGTATTTCTTCTTTACATTCAAATTATAAGTGAAGGTCTTGAGATCAAAATTTATAAGTTTTAAGCAAAATTTTTCTACAGGTTGCATCAAAATGATTCGTAATATTTCGAATGTATCCAAATTGAGATAAGATATTCTTTATGCTATGTATGAATAAAGCAAAACAACGTGAAAAAAGTACAAACTCTATTATTTTTAATTGCTATTTACTCTATTTATAATTACTATTTACTCTGTTATTTAAGTTCCATTATTTTTCTTTATATTCAAATTATAAATGAAGGTCTTGAGTTCAAAATTTATAAGTTTTAAGCAAAATTTTTCTAAAGGTAACATCAACATGATTCGTAATATATTTCGAATGTATCCAAATTGAGATAAGATATTCTTTATGCTATGTATGAATAAAGCAAAACAACGTGAAAAAAGTACAAACTCTCTTATTTTTAATTACTATTTACTCTATTTATAATTACTATTTACTCTGTTATTTAAGTTCCATTATTTTTCTTTACATTCAAATTATTAATGAAGGTCTTGAGATCAAAATTTATAAGTTTTAAGCAAAATTTTCTAAAGGTTACATCAACATGATTCGTAGTATATTTCGAATGTATCCAAATTGAGATAAGATATTCTTTATGCTATGTATGAATAAAGCAAAACAACGTGAAAAAAGTACAAACTCTATCATTTTTAATAACTATTTACTCTATTTTTAATTACTATTTATTATATTATTTAAGCTCTATTATTTTTCTTTACATTCAAATTATAAATGAAGGTCTTGAGATCAAAATTTATTAGTTTTAAGCAAAATGATTCGTAATATTTCAAATGTATCCAAATCAGGATAGGATATTTTTATACTACGTTCTATTATTTTTCTTTACATTCAAGTTATAAATGAAGGTCTTGAGATCAAAATTTATAAGTTTTAAGCAAAATGATTCGTAATATTTCGAATGTATCCAAATTAGAATAGGATATTTTTTATGCTATGTTCTATTATTTTTCTTTACATTCAAATTATAAATGAAGGTCTTGAGATCAAAATTTATAAGTTTTAAGCAAAATGATTCGTAATATTTCGGATGTATCCAAATCAGGATAGGATATTTTTTATGCTACGTTCTATTATTTTTCTTTACATTCAGATTATAAATGAAGGTCCTGAGATCAAAATTTATAAGTTTTAAGCAAAATGATTCGTAATATTTCGAATGTATCCAAATTGAGATAGGATATTCTTTATGCTATGTATGAATAAAGCAAACCAACTTGAAAAAAATACGAACTAAACGTACTGAAATACAAACTGAAAATGCGTCATAAAACAATAAAGAATAAAAAAAAGTTTGTTACTTCAAAAAAGAAAGTGGTTGCTCTTCTCCGCTATTAAAATTAATATCTTATAGAATGTAAACTCCGAATTAAACTCGAGTATTTATGAAATTTCTTGTCAGTGTCATATTATATAAAATAAACGTAGCATTTAATTTCAGCTTAAAGTTGTGTCTAAATATTAAACGATTTTCCATTGCTCTACATACTTGATATTCTAATCATATGTAAATTTTCTTCAACTAAAATCATACGAACTTGTTTTTCATATGCTGACTTTGTCGCTTATAAATCATTTTATTTTAATTTTATAACCATCGTTGAACAGCTGACCCATTTTTGAGTTTACGATCACTAATGTTCAACTCGTAATTAAAATAATACCTTGTAATTTTGAACCCAATCCAAAAGACAAGGGAACTCCTAGATCAAATATTGGGAAAAATTTGCCTTCGTGTAGGACTTTTTTTGATGGAACTAACGCACATTTGCGTTACATGGAGAGGAAGACCACGAGAACTTCCCATGGTTAGCCTGACGGCAAAGGCCATGATCCGTCTGCCACTGAGGATATTTCAAGTGAGCACTGTGTTTGGTGGAAGCCGGTTGTGGAGTCGTATCGACCAGCCATCGTAGGGATTTAAACCCGGTTCACCTGTTTGGAAGGCGAACGCTCTATCCCCTGAGTCATCGCATCTTCTAGTAAATCATTGAAAAATTCTAATAATTTAACTAAGGATGTTTATAATACTCTATCTATATATTTTTTAATTTTTAGAGTTATATTCTTTATCTGGCACACCCAGAGTAACCTACCATTTTTTTTCTTATCTCCGTTCTTTTATTATTTTATATCTCTTCCTCCATTAGTTAAACCAGTGTTTTCCTTAATGCTACGCGTTTAACTTTCCACTTTTATTTTGATTTTTGACTCTAAGGAAGGTTCATTTCAGCAGTATGTACCTTTATTGGCGATTTTTTTTTCATGCTGTTTTGCTTTATCGATGTTTCACAAGATAAGAGCAAATGAATTTGGCTATATTTTCTCTGGTTGGTAGACACGTGACGAGAACGAAATACATAAATGATTATTTAAAGAAAATGAATAACGATTTTCTACTTTTTTTTAAAAAAAAAAAATTCCAACTTAATGTCAAAATTTTATGTCTCACTTCAAATGAAGCTAGTTTCGATTTGAGCTACCTGATTGAACAAAACTATCTGATTGTTGGTTTTAAATTGTTAAAATTAAAATAATCTGCTTAGGGTTGAAATAAAATTTCGTTTTTATTGCAGGCATGCGCATATTAGTGATGCTGCTTCTCGATACGCTTCCAATGCTGGGGAACGTTCTTCTCTTGTGCTTTTTTGTGTTCTTCATTTTCGGCATTGTAGGGGTGCAGCTGTGGGCTGGCCTACTACGACAACGGTGCTACATAGATCTTCCTAAAAATGTTTCCTACCCCGAGTAAGTACCATCTCTTTATATAGCTATATTTTTAATCCTATAAAGATAAAGCTTTGCATTTGGAAACTGTATCAGTTCCATAGTCAAGTAAATAGTTTAAGGCAAAAAAAGCAATTTTATCCATTAAACCAGGGCAGGGAAGGCCTAGTACAGGAATCTCGTTAGTGAGATCGAGAGTTCGAATCCAGCCAGCCCCCGTGAAGTAAATTTTGACTGGTGCACGTTAAATATGTCGGGTCGAAAAGTCCAAAATGTTTGAATTACAAATTATACCTCAGGGGTATAAGTGTGGCAGACGTCGAATTTTTGGTTATAGGTGGCTCTACTAGAAAACAAGAACAATCGCACGCCCTCTGCCTTAATGGCCTACAGCAACAGCAACATCCATTAAACCTAATTGTCTCTCCTTTCACGGTTCCCTGTGTTATGTATGAGATGATCCCTTCCAACCCCAGCGGACACATATCTAATTTCGGTACTCTCATATATCTTTGCTTATATAGTATGTCTACGCTAAGAACTCCCTCTGCCACAAAGTCTGAAGCCGTCTGCTACTGTGGAAACAAGAATAGTACATTTCAGGGAGTGTAGCTTCTCTTCCCTCTAAGACTAACGCAGTAGTTCGAAGGAAAATATTCCCTTTCTCTCGCAAACACGAACCAAAACCTGTTCTTAACAGTGACCGCAAAGCCCAACTTGTAATAGTTATACCTCGTTACCATCGCCACGGGTCCAGACGAATGTCTCGGCGAGTTCTTACTTTCGACACACAATACGTACTTGGTGTTTAGACTCTTTCAATTTAAGGGTTAGGGAAAGACTCACTTTTCTCCTTTTGTCGATTCTGATTGGATTGATTGTTGAATTAATTTCTGATTGGGTGAATTTAGAATGTGTCACTTAAGAAAACTGATACTTAACAGGCTTACTCGAAAGAGAATAGAGAGAGCAGTTGCTAACGTAAACGAATGACACGTTTCAACAAACAATCAGGATCGAGATATCCACACTACGTTACTTGCAAATGTCCCACTGTGGGTAAAGTCACTAAAGAAACTGAAGAGAAAAAAACATTATAGTATGTGGCAACTGAAGGGTTTAAAAATTAAAACCCACCTTCTATTAAACCACCATATGTATTTAACTGATTCCAAAAACAAAAACTGTTTAGTGCTAGGTGACGTTAGTAGTAGACGTAATCAAAATCAAATTTTTCACACTGCAGATGACTCTTGTAACTCCAATGTACCCATATGATCGTTTTTCTTAAAGTTTTTTTTTTTATTTCCTTTCAGTTTTTACACCAGATTCAGTTTAAAATAAAGTTTAAATTCCGTACGAAAATATTCAAAGCATTATAGCTCGATGTAATAGCATCCATTCAAAACCTTCTGCTCTATTATGGTACAGAACATCGTATTTTTGAGTTGCAAAAACTTTACATGGATTAAAATAGTGTCTGCGGACCGCTCGCGTGCATGATCATGGCCTAAGGCTCCATTTTTTAACAGGGTTCCTTCTTTTAACACTGCTCATCGTTTGCTAGAATCACAAACCCTGCTATCCAATAGTGCTCTCTGTATACAAACCATGGAGCGAACTATAGTTTGTCAAAAGTAAGAACTCCCCTAGCCATTCATCTGGACCCGTGGCGGTGGCAGAGACATATAACTATTACAAGTAGGGATGTGGGGTCGCTGTTTAAGACAGGTTTTGGCAGGTTTTAAGACAGGTCGCACTGTGGGCCAGAAAACCATGATCCTTGGCCAAAAGTCAAAAATTAAATTTTCAACTAAAATATGTGTAGGCAGTTTTAATATAGCCCAAATTAAGTATTCATAATCATTCCAAACTTTATAATTTACTTTTTGGACCGTACAATGAAATGAAAAATATGTTTAATAAAAAATTTCTAATGTAACTTTTACATTTTCATTTTTAGAAATATGTATCGGAATTTCACCTTACTGTTACATTTTTATCAGAGTAATTAGTTTGAAATTATAGTACAATTTTTCAATGTGTTGGATTAGTTAATATTCTTGACAAACTTATAGTTTATATCTTATCATTTGACATTTTACAATGTTTGAATAACTTTCGAAACTTAATTTCTAAACGTTCCACGAGGTCATTAGCTAAACTTTTTTTTGTTGTCTTCTTTGATGTTTCTTCTTTCGAAAAAACTTGCCCCATTTTGCCCGTATTGCAAAGGTGGACAAAACGTACCGAAAAGCAAAAATTATGTTTTTTTTTCCCATGTTTTCGCGTTATTTTGTTATTAATTCGCGCTATTTTGCGATATTACTTCGGAAATATAATTTGCTATTCATTTTTAATATAAAATTACGAAAATAATTATACTTTCAGTGCTATATTTAATTATTTAAACGTACCATATTATTATTTTTTTTAATTTCTGCTGGCCATTTTGTTTTTTTTTTTGGGTAATTTTAGTGTATTTCAAAATTTTAACTATGAATTCAATTTACCTGCACATCAAAACCACTAAATAAAACCCCAATTTTTGAAACAAATTTTATCGAAATACTAACTTTGGGCACGAAACGTTGGATGCTGGCCTACTGTGGGTCAGCGAGATAGGAAAGGGAATCTTTTTCTTCGGTCTACTGTGTTAACCCTAGAGTGAAGAAAATCTACCCTCCCTGAAATGCCCCATTCTTGTTACCATAGCAGCAGACGCCTCAGACTTCGTGGGAGGGGAGAGTTCTTACCATAGACGAACTATAAAAGGGAGTTTTTCAATTTTCTTTCATCAACCCTAATGTAAATAAAACTCCAACTACCGCGGAATAAAAAATTGTTCCTAGTGGTAGAAAAGATAATGTATTAATATTTTAATGAATTCCACTCCATCGGTTTGATAAAGAATTTGCGAGAGTGTTTTAAACGTTTTTGCAAATGCTGAAGAAATGTCCACCTCCTCAATGAATTTTTTATTTTTTCAGAACATCGATTGATTCGAAAAGAATGTATTAACTTTTTTTTATTATTTTTTGAGAACATAAAAATGAAACTATACTTACCTGACTCAGAGAAGAACTACGGTGACGTGTTTTACAAATAATGGGTGGCTCTCTAAAAGCTTTATAGTTGCTCTGCCAATAAAATAACTACCAGGTTGGGAACCACTTTTGCATTCTGAATCGCACTTTTAAACATTCTGGGAGAAGAGAAAATATTTTGAGAACCTACGCAACACAGAAGAGGGTGATAAAATATTTTTTTCACGTTTCTCGTGTTGCATTTTATGTTCTATTTTACATGCTTAATAAATCATTCTTTGTATAGAAACAGTAAAAAGAATTAAAAAGTGTCACAGGGCCCATATAAGGCAGGGATATAAGTATTTCTCTTCACTATTTAGAGACGTTTTTGTTATATTATCCTTTCGAACGTAATATTCTTATTATAACGTAATGTTCTTCTCCAAGCTTATAAAAGGTTTCTCGGGGGTGTTGAATTTCGTTTTCAAAATATAATTATATTGATCGCCTATTCTTTCAGTTTTTGCCACTTCAAAGATTCTGAAATAGATATGGATGGTTGATTGAATGTAAACAATAACAAGCGGAAGAGATTTAGAAAACTTCCAGTGTATCCCTCCGCTTATGTAATGCTTAAGAGGCGATGCGTGAACAGGCTTAATATTCTAAGTAGTTCTATTGTTGAGATTTGTGTTAAAATATACGCTTAATTTTAACATTCATAAGAGTTTTCTGTAATTTATAAATTCTAAAAGGCCGTAAGCCTAAAACAAATTTAACAACAACAACAAAAAAAATTGTGATCGCCTTGCCGTTATCACACGTTACCAAATTACTTTGGCAAAATGGTTATTACGTTATATTGGCAAAATGGTTGTTGCCTAATTTTTTTTGGAAACGAAACTTTATTGCGTTTTCGTCTTGGACATCTTTAACAGATAATCCTGAACTGCTCGGTGCGCAATTTCGCAGATATATTTAAATGCAGTTCAGACACATTCTGCGTAATTTCTTATGATGACTGAATAGACATTGAACAACCAATCGAGATCGATGTTAACATTTTTGGATGGGTACAATAGTGTTTGATGGAGATTGTAAGCTGCATCATACACCCGTTTGGGATTCACAAGTTCACATATGAAATGTGATTTGAAAGCTAGGCTTTTTTTTTTCAATTTTACATGAATAGTGAATGAATCATTTATATTGCGTGAAAGACAGTTGACAGTCTTGTGCAAGTTTTGAGCTACGTTGACGCTGGATCCTTTTAGCCCTAACTGCTGATCAACACCCAGTTCTCGTATTTGCATGAAAGGGATTCGGAGAGTCACCATTCGCTCTTTGGTAGGGTTCAATTCTCTCAACCACTTTGGTATTTTTGTGTGAGACGAGCTTCATGCTTGCGTTTGCGAACGGAATACTTTCGTTTTACCGTTTGTGGGCAACGCTTGGGGCATTCCTGTCTACGTTCTTTGGCTTTTTCCGCCTCAGTAACTTAAGGGCTTGGCATCGTTTTTTTTTTCTTGCTTCAACTCTAACTTTTGGGACCGTGTTAATCAGATTGGGACCCTCTTTATGTGTGATATTCACCTGTAGTATTGAAATAGCGAGTATTCTGGGTGGGAGTAATATTCAGAATTTGCACAAATTAACGTAAGGGTGTTTAAAGCCTTATAATACAGAGCAGAAAAATAAATAAAATTTGAAAAATGCAATTTTTTTCAAAATTTAATTTCTCAGGAACAATTTGACAGATTTCACTCAAATTTTGCATTTTTCCAAGTAAAATAATTTTTTTTAAAACGATGTAAAAAATGGTATAACTCAGGGCTCGAAAAAACTCAGAAATTTTACCCGTCCCCGAGGACGGCTTGTTCAACAATGCACCCGTCCTCTTTTGAAACTAACCCGTAGCTTCTGAATAAATAAAAATATAATTTTCTCCTATTTATTACAAACATTTATATAAATTGCCCAATGAATTAGTAGTTACTAGGATTACAAATACTAGGATTACATTATACTGTAATAAAAAAATACTAGGTTACTAATAATAACCTTGTATTTGAAATAATTTAAATGACAAAGATCAAGTTATCTGGAATGTCAATTTATCCGAGGGTACTGTGTTTTTTAAATGAATCAAATATGACGTTTGCCAGTTCCACAATCAAGTCAATGATTTACAAAGGTTTCTGCACAGAAATCTGAAAGGGATTTTCCATTTAGGTAGATGTTGATAAAGGCGTTTAATGCTTCTTGTTACGACCAGTAAGTAATGTGTTTTTTGTAAGTTCATTGCTGAAAAGCCTCTTTCAACCGCTGCAGTACTCCCAGACAGAGAAAACATCAATTCCACCATATGCAGCGTGTTGCTGTATTTCTAGATTAGAGGATCATTTTAGAAGTGAGGCGCTAGACTCTTGTAAGATAACAAAAATTGAAAATGTATCACGAACATTAACGGGGAAATGGCCATCCGCGCGGACGTTGGATTCGAGAAATTCGTTGTCCGCGGGGAATTTTTGACCGCCGAGGACGGGCTATTTTTCGAGCCCTGGAACTTACAATTCAAACTTTTTTCGGCTATCATTAAATGAAATAATGGAAAATAATAAATATTAACTGAAGGTTATTTTTTACACGGAATTATCTTTGAATAAACAAATTTTATCAGTGTAAAATTTTTTAATTCGCTCACGCTTTAAAAGTTTTTGAGATATATCGAAATATGCACAAAATAAACTTAACATTAAGGGGTCCAAGCTTTGATTCGTATACAGCAAACTGTTTTTTTGCCAACTAAAAACGCATTATTGACCATACCTCAAAAGCGGCGGGTGATTTTTTAAACTTGAACATTTTAAAGGCACAGAACTGACCGTACAGATGATATCTGAGCACAGCTGTAACTGAGCACAATAATTCCCTAGGAATGGCAGGTCGCGACGCAAGCTCTCGATGTAACTCAGGCGTCACTTAGAAGTCAATGGCCATTTTACTAGACGTACTAAAAGATTCTATGTAAAATTATAATTACCACGTGATACTATACAGCTGTATTGTTTTTACTCGGATGAAACCGGTTTGCATTTGTTTACTCTCCTGTATCAATTGGTTAACATTGTAATGCAATACGTTAAAAATAAATACAAATAGAAAGTATGTAAAAAATTCTTGAATAAAAACCCATTACATGTGTGTTTAAATACAAAAGTATTCTATATAAACTTTGTAACTTGTAATTGATTACTTGTTGTACAATTGATTACTTGTAATCGTGATTACAAGTAATTGATTACATAGCTGTAATTATCTGTAATCAATTACAGTTGTAATCGATTACTGTAATCAACGGCCAATACTGGTGCAAATCATGTCATTATTAAAAGAACTATTGTGCGTCGAATAATTTGATCTAATTATTATAATATACTAATATAATACCTGATATAATAAATATTCTATATTTATATAGTATATCGCCTAATTTATCTTATCGTCAAATTTATATTATATATAGTCTAATTTAACTCATTGATACACGAACGTAAGCAAGTGCAAACAGTCACATAAAATCAATAAAGCTGTATAGTATCACCTGATAATTAAAACTTCACATAGAATCTTACAGCGCGTCTAATAATTTGACATGGGACTGTATTAGTATACACCACCAAAACGGTCCTCTTAAATACCTATAAAAATTTAACTAAGTTGATCCATTAATTATATTTTTTAATACTTCTATCTTTACTCTTATAAATTCTTCTGTTTATCTACATGAGAATTTCATTTAAAAGTTACGCTTTAAAAAATGGCGCAAAACAGAAACAGCAAGTGGAAACTATTTGTAAAATAAAATCACCCCATATAAAATATGTTCTTACAATATTTTTTTTTTCAACCTACGAGATAACAGTTTAAATCGCGATTTTATTCTTCGTTCAGCAACAAAATAAAAATTCGGAGTTGTTGATAAATTATTGTGGAAATTGCGCTAAGCAAATTACATTATATTTATATGAAATTTGCTTGAGGTGAGAGGGGCCAATTGAAAAATGTAAGAGAAAATTTATTTTATTTTGCTACACGAATTAAAGAGCTCTTGACAGACCCCTGTATCGTTCTCGTTTACGCTCGTAGTGATACCATTTATCTTCAAATCTCTGTTACGAGATCACATTAATCACGCAAGGTCTTGAATGTGCAAAAGAATTTCCTTCATTTAGTTGAGGTGATACTTTTCTCTCAGCCCTTTTCTTATTAAAAATAGAGAGAAGGGACTGTATTTATAATAACAATCTTTTTAATAATGTTAAAAGTTTCAAGTATTTAATTTTTTTTATGACACGCGAATATATATATGTTTAATTGCTTTTTAAAGAATTATAGGTTCATAGCTCCCTCAATCTGAAATTTATTCAGCAAATTTTTAACGCTGTAGCAAGTTTATTGCTAAGGTAATATTATTAAAACTTTTTTAAATTGTTTCAAGTTAGTTTTTTTTTTAAAAAAAAAACAATAAACTCAGTAAAACTGTTTTAATAATTTAAAATAAAAAGTGTTCTTTAACTTTTACCATAGATAATTAGTAATATAACAATTAATGATATGTTATAACCGTCGTTGAACAGCTGACCCAATATAGGGTTTACGACTACTAATGTTACTGAAACCTTGTAATTTTCAACCCAATCCAGAAGACAAGGGAACTTCTGTCTCAAATATTGGGAGAAATGTGCCTTCGTGGAAGAAATTTTTTTGATGAAACCAACCCGCATTTGCCTTACATGGACAGGAAAACCATGAAAATTTCCAACGATTGGCCTGACGGCAAGTGGACCCATGATCCGTCTACCACTGAGGATATTTTTTGTCAGCTCTGTGGTCGGAGTGAGCCGGGTGCGGAATTCGCATCGACCGACCATCGTTGGAATTCGAATCAGATTCACCTCATTGAAACGCGAACCCTCTATCCCATGAGCCACCACGGATCAATTAATAATATAATAATTTTTTAAAGAATTTTTAAAATTTCTTATAATAAATAAATTAATAAAATTAAATCAAATGCATTCACGAAGGAAAACATCTGCTCCTTTTTTACGTCAGAAAACCTTTTATTTTTTAATAAAAAAAAAACTCTTTAAAAAGCTGACATTATCACGACAAACTTCAATAAAACCTCACAAAATTGAGTAAATAAAAAGCATACCTCAGCCTCAGCTTTGTGCAATAAGCTTCTCTATATTGCACAAAGCATTAAAATTACGTTTCAGATAAGTAATGAATGTTGAGAAATTTGGAAAGAAAAACGTTTGAAACATCCTGCAAACCTTTGAAGTGCTGACCTTAATACAAGTGAGACTTAATCAGAAGGTCAGCAACTATTTTATTCACCATAGCTGTTCCATTTTTTTTTCATCCAGACTGTTGCCATCCAACATATAAGAAATAATTTATAATCATCTAGCTTAATCGATATTATCGATTAAGAATAAAACTACACGTTTCTCAGCTTCAAACCTAAAATATACAGAAATGTCTCGGTCAATAGTAGAAATACCAGAGATAATGTTTATTATAACCATTTGTTTGGTGAAAATCTGGATATTTTTGTTTTTAAATAATATTCAAATCTTTCAAAAAAAATGCTTCAAAACCTGAGAATTTTTCCCCACCTTAAAGTTCTGATCAAATAAAAAAAGCGTCTTCGTAAGCTTATTTCATAAACTTCATAACAATAATTATCTCAATTTCCTATTGTGGCGTAACTACCACTATAAATATTAATTATCAATTCACTAGTATATAAGATATGTTAACTTGAAACTATCGAGAGGTACCTTTTCATAGATGAAGGTTGACATAGTCGGTAATTAATTCTCCTTACAATGGTGACCTTCGGAAGTGATATGAACTTGAAAACATTGATAGATGGTCCACATTAAAACATTTGAATTGCTGAAAAATATACTGCTCAGAAAAAAAATCCCGCGAAGTAAATAAAGTCTCCTGGTTAAAAAAAAACACAAAAAAAATTGAGAAGGAAAAAAAATCAGCGAAATGCTATACACAAAAAAATGGAGGGGAAAAAAATTATGAGCGAAATGTTATGAGCAAAAAAAATGAAGAAAATATAATGTGCAAAATTAATATAAATGAATAAACAGCATGAATCAACTAGTGGTATCTGTTCATCGAATTCTATTACAGATATAATTCTGATNAAATTTATTGATCTCACTATAAATATTAAATACCAATTCACTAGTATATAAGACATGTTAACTTGATTCTATCACGCGGTACCTTTTGATAGATGAAGGTTGACATGGTCGATAATTTAAGCCCCTTACAGTATAATTTTAATTCAAAATCACTTGATAAAGTTAAGCCATTCGACACATTAGTCAATAAAAATTAAAGCAATGCTGCCAAAAGGCCCAAACCAGTTTCAAATGGAAGCTAGCCATTGATGAAATTGTGATGCACAGAAATTTTTCTTCGTAATTTGCGTAGTAGTTTATATGTAATTTTTACTTAGTAATTTTCTTGTTAAAATAATGTCTTGAAATATTTTTGTTTTTTTCAGGAATGTCCCTACTTTTTATCATGATCCTGATGACGACGAATATGAATATATCTGCAGCCTGGACAAGGACAGTGGCAATCACAAGTGCATTGACCTTCCTCCGTATACTTATGTGGGTAGGGCGTGCAATGGAACGGCCTTACCATTCAGCAGCAATTCTCCCTCTGAGACGCATTGCGTGAATTGGAACAATTACTATACCGTGTGCCGGGCGGGAAACAGAAATCCCTTCAAAGGGGCCATCTCTTTCGATAATATTGGATTAGCATGGGTGGCTATTTTTTTAGTAAGTATGGACATTGAAAGTTTATGAGCAGTTGTCGCTACTGTCTAGCTATCGCGAGATGAACCTCACTGAGAGCTGCTCATCTTGTAATTGCCAGACAGTGGCGGCAACTGTGCGACAAAAAAGTGACATTTAAGTATGTAAGCCACAAAATGAGCCTTACTGAGAGCTGCACATCTTGTGGCTTACAATCTTAAATGTGACCACTCGATACACTTACTTATGTTGAGAGGAAGTTCAAATATTCAACACCCATTCTCTTAGGTGTTCAAAAACTATTTTGTGTGAAGGACTTGCACAAAAAGTTGACTAATAAAAGGTTGCATTTAGCAAGTGGACGGCAAATTTAATAATATTTGTCTAAACAATAGTGCTAGATTAATGCAATATTAGAAAGCACTCTTTTTTGTGGATATAATCGTGTGAGCTGATGAAGAGATTATATCTCTTCATTTTTTTTTCGCCTTTTTATTATTTTTTTGAATATTTTTTTTAAAATATTCTTAAAAAATATTTTTTTTTCTTTTTTCATTAATTTTTTATTATTTTTCATTTTTTTTCTATATTTTAATAAAAGTCCATTTAAAAAAAAATTCTTACGAAAGTAAAACTAATGCTCACAGAATGAATTTATATAAAAAGCATACTTTAATTAGTAATACAAATTCAAATTAAATAATTTAATTAATGAAAATTTGTAACATTTAAAAAAATATCAAAAATTAAAACAAAGCCATTATAATATGAGCTACGATTAAGTATTTATTTGATATTATACTTCAAATATTATCTCTATCGATTGAATTATTAGGTTGCTTTGAATTCAAAATTACAAGACTATTAGTAGTAAAAGTTACGNAATTATCCTTATCTATACAATTCATTGAAAAAGTCGTTGCAATGAACCATTAATTAATGGTTACGAACCATTTTTTGGCCAATAAGGCTTGTTTTTTAGATGAAGAAACTGTTAACAACTAAAACCGAACAGAGATTGGTGCCCTCTAGTTTTAATAGGATATTAATTTTTGATTATTTGCTATTAAATAAATCAACAGCCTTATTTTTGTACCAAATTTTTTCACAAATGCATAACAAAAAAATATTGCAAACATTTTAAACTAATATAGTTATTGGCACTTTTTTTATATTGTAGGCCTCATTTATTTTTAATTTATATTTTAGGTGATCAGTCTAGAAGGCTGGTCGGATATTATGTACTACGTACAAGATGCTCATTCATTTTGGGATTGGGTTTACTTTGTCCTGCTTATAGTGGTAAGTAAACCCTTTTTTTTAATATATACTAAATTTCAAAGCATTTTGATTTTAGATACGTTGTGAAAACTTTTTTACAGAATTCTCATAAAGCAATTGGTGAAATAAATGCATTGTGTTTTAAAAATTTGATATTTGTCGCGGTTTCCATCACTTTAACTCCCTCCTTCTCTCTCTCTCGTGAAAATGTCGGGATGAGGTTTCGCTCTCTATTTCTCGCTCCCGTGAAATTTCCGGACTGGAGTGTTCAGTAGTAACGCGCCAATAAGTATAAAAATAATTCATTTATTTTGCCCGGAAAAAATTTTAGTTCTCATTTTATTCACCAGATGGCAGTACCAGGACATATTTAAGGTAATTGTAGATAGTTAGTTTATTTTAAACTAGATATCAGCACAAGATGTTTGGATGTCAGAAAACAAATAGGCACTTTTATGACCGTTTTCTTGAAAATTAACCAATCGTTAAGGGGTTAACAATCATATAACATCGGTCATGAGTCAAGTCCATTTATTCCGAAAACTGTGCATTCCGTCTTCTTAAAAAATTATTTTCAAATTCATCATTAGCATATCACTTTTTTTCTAAATCTTAAAAATCAGCGTAAAATCCTCAAACGATATTCTGTATCAAGCGAAACGTTAAGTTTATTTCATATTTATTATTCATTTTCTTAAAATGTAACCTTACTTCCTCAAACTTCAAAATTCAATGTATGCATTTGAATATATGCTTAAATTGAATTCTGTAGTGACAAATACAATATCTTTATTTGATATTTTAGTCAGAAATTTACTCATTTTCTTTTCACATTTTTACTAATAGTACTTACTCACTCGATTTGTTTACTTTTTATTGCTTTTGCTTTTATTTTATGAAATCCTAACTCTTCAAAATCTAATGCCTATTAAGACAAAGCAACTTGTCATGAACTGATGGACAACTTTACAATGGATCAGTGCTTTTATTTTCCAATAATTGCATTAATATTTCATCCTGCCTTCATTTCAACAATTCTCCTTCACATCAATAATTCCTTCATGCTTCATTTCATTAATTCCGCGAAACTAGGGAAGAAGAAAAAATAATGAGATCTTCAATCGAAATTTAATTTTAATGATCAAAAAAGCACGTATTTCATTTAAGTATAATTTCAAACAATAATTTTAAAAAAAAAAACGTAAATTCTCTTGAAAAAACGAGAAAAAAATAAAATAAATGAAAAAAGAGAAAGATAGAGAGAGAGAAAGATTTTTCTAAAATTGTCACGAACTGACAAGTTCTTTAGTGGAACTGTCACTTCAATTCTAGCAGCTTTCTTCGAAAGAGCTGCTCCATTATTAGAAGTCTTCGGAAATGTGCTCTTTTGTAAAAAAGTAATGTGCATGTGAGAGGAAAGTGAGAGGACACATAAAAAATAAGGCTAGGAATTTAATATGAAACTCAATGATTTTATGAGACATTAAGATTTTGATGTGACAGTATTTAAAATGAAAAATAAATATCATGAAAAATTTCGATAATTGATTACGTATTAGTTTTCTTCATTATACCCAGTAAATATATTAGAAACGATGAATGTTCAGAACGAAGAGCACGATTTATTTATTAAAACATCGGAAAATTATTCAAAAGTATAACATATGAAACAATTTTTATATTTCTTCTAAACATACAGTGAAAACTGTTAAATTGACTCCTGGTAAATTAGCGACCTAACCATATTAACTTTTACTTTCTGCTTAAAGTTTACTTTTATTATCAAGAACTGAATTCATCCTAAATACTAAAAGACGGCAAAACCTCATAAAGTATAACCTAACTAAGAAATTAATCTTTATAATGCTTATATGTCTCGAAAAAACAACAACAAAATTATTTAATCTGATCAAAATAAAGTAAAATAAAATAAAAATGCTTTAAAATTAGATTGACTAATCTTAGCAATTAACAAAAATTGCTCTGAAGAAAAAAATATAATATTTATGCTTTTAGCTTTATTGCATGAAATAATTGATAAAAATGGTAAATTAAACTTCACCGCTGCCATCTATGAAAAAAAAATTTAAAAATAATAATAATTGAAAAACGCAAGTAAAAAGATTCAAGCAAAACATTCCACATTTGGCCAAACAATATTTTTTTCTCTACCGACAACAGCCAAAACTTAAAAAGAAAATATACTCCTCATGCACTCGTTAAATTTAAGTGATAAAATAAGTTCATTCTGTTTCCACGTAATTTTGATACAAGAATGAAGAACTTTGGAAGACAGTAATTTATAAAATTTTAGTGCCTCCATTAGATCTAACAAAAGTCAAAACCTATCTCTGCTCACAACAAAATAATTTTCTCAACTCAAAAATTTTTATGATTATCCAATAAATGATAAAAAAAATTCTTTTGCATTTAAATAATTGACGTAAATTAAAATCATGCAAGTAATATTTTCTACCGTTATGAAGGTTTATTTTTCTCTATAAGTGTTAGTATGATTTTTTTAAAAATTCTTATTCATTGGTGTTACTGCTTACCTAAAACTTTAAGTGACATCTGGAGAAATTTTTTTTAAACATATATCTCACTATGCCATAATTTTTATCTCAATTCCTATGGTGTAAATGACTGCAATAAATTCTTAATATTTATTTTGATTTTATGGTATAAGAAACGTTGAAAAACAATCTTTAATTAACATTACAATAATCATATACTCAATGAATTTGCATTATCAATATGTCGGAGAAGATGGTGTAAGTATTCAATGGCATTGATAAATCATTCTTAGCAAACACAATTATCAGTGCCTGATTACTCGAACTAACATAGACGGATCAAACAAGTTGGATGAGATTTTCAACTAATTATGCTCGTGTAGAAAGATGATTACTCAGATGCGATATTTGTTGGATTAACCCCATTTGCAGCTTTTTCACCCGGACTCAGAATGTAAGAAAATGCATCTGCATACAAATTTAAATATCAACATCTATATAATATGTAAGGATATTTTATAATACACACTCAAACCTGTTTTTGCGCAGTCTTTTCTTATTTTTGTTTCGCGCGGTGCATCAAAATTTCAATTAAATTGAACATAATTGACGACTCAATAAAAAAATTGGTAAAATCCTAAAATAGCCCACCTATTGGCGATTTTTTTTAAATCTCGCCAAGTTGGCGAATATTGCTGGGATCAACGTTGCTTATTGATTATTAAAAAAATTCATTTAAATTACTACTAATTTATTAAAATATTTTTTAATAATAAAAAATAAATAATAATAAAGAAATCGAAAAAATAAACCATTTTACCACTTTTCTAACGAAAGTGTGAATACGCGTGGGTATACATATGGCGAGGTATACATGTATAACCAATCAGGTTTAAGAATTTAGGTGATGTGGTCGAGGTGTGATCGGACGTTGAAAATAATCTCCCCGAAATATCTCAAAGAAACCCAGTTTGGCGAGACTTCCAAAAAATTTTCAAAAACAAATTTTAACACATTTTAAAAGTATTGCGTCAGCAAATTACATTACATATGTATTGAATTCTATAATCGCATAATGTGATGGGATACCTGCAAGTGTCGAAGTGTGGGTATCTCACCCCTTATTGGTTCTTGAAACGTGATACGTATTTGTTTACGTTAACAACTGCTCTTTCCTTTCTATTTCGAGTAAGCCAAGCCGTTAATCATCATTTCTCTTAAGTGACACATTCTATATTCTTACACAAAGATTCCTCGACAAAGATTTCAATTCTTTCTCTATATATTTCTTTCTCTATATATTTCTTACTCAACACAAAAAAAACACGTAGAGCATAAACAAACTAATTATGCATCGAAGTTGCCAGGTACACAAAACAAAAGTATATCACGGTTACAGTAAAATACATAAACATTTAATAAAGCTAAGTTAAGTGAAGGACATAGAATAAAAAGAATTATATTTCTATAAATTCGATGTGTGATACGTCAGCACAAAAAAGAATATAAAAAAAAGCAATTATATAATTAATTCTTTAAAAAAATATCCGTTTATAACAACCGTAGAAAAAAAAATTTAAAATCAGCTCACATTTATACAGAAGTTTTTTACATTTGTAATTAGTAAATAGTAAATATAAAATGAGTAAGTTAATTGCATTCTCATATACTAATTGAATCTTCCTTTTGCAGAACTATAATAATAAACTTTCATCATATTAATGAGTTCTTTTTAATAACAGACACTATTATGATAAATCATCTTATAACAAAGTAACTCTTAACAAAAGGCATAGTTTAAAATGATATAAAATGTATACAGGGACAGTAGTAACAAATATAATTTCTTTTTATTCAAATAACTGTTTTTTATGTAAGCTGTTTTTAAATTAAAGTGGGTACTATCTAAATTTTAATTAAATTTCTTTGATATAAAAGCGAAGCGAAATGAATAAAAAAAGAAGAAGAAAACTATGCGAGGTTTTTAAAAATAAATCTTGCGTTTCATTTTTCGACTGGCTTAATCAAGTTGAGGAAAAAGCGTCTTTTAAATACAAACCCTTTATTGATTAGGTCTATTTGTAACCAACTTTGTAAAGCAAGTTAAATAAATAAATATTCTAGCATTTTAATATGAAATGAAATAAATTAAAAAATTTTAGTTCGAAAACACCAAACTAGAGTAACCGGTTATAAACTTTTTATAATCTCTCGTCGTAAAAAAAAAACTCTTAGTTTTAAAAAATTTGGTTCGTTATTAAAAGTTTTTATTCGAGTAAAATGCATAAAAAAGTAAGCCAAAAACGAAAAGAATAAATGTCTTTCTACTTAAAGAAAATACGATCGCTTATTTTTTTATTGTTTCTTTTCAAAATGGTGTTTTAAATAGCATTTTGAAATTCCTTTACGTGACTGTTAGAAATGCAGAATAATTCTCTCAAAGGGATTGCTAGTACCTTTGATATCAGATCCAAGCGAGCTCTAAGCGTCAACTACTCCAAACTAGATCAATATTAAGCCTCTTCTCAGCCTCATAAATGTCTGTGTCTTATCTCGGTCGAGTTTAAGAACTAATATTTGCGAAAATGGGGATTTTGTCGTAAAATCAGGAACTTCTACAGCCGGGAGGAGAAAGACGGGTCTATGTGAAACCTTCCATATGTATATAAATACTTTTACACTATCTTATATCCCAAAGGCGATTTTCATTTTAGAGATGTTAGTAAGATAGACCTTTTGCTCGAATATAAGTTATTTATTGAACCTTTTATTTTTAGAGATACAGAATTTATTTTGACTTTTATTAGACTGAATTGCTCTATTAATACTTAGGTATAAAATTATATAAAGAGAATGAGTTAATTGTTTTATATAGTTGAGTAAAAACAGGTTTAGTTTATTTAGTATTTGTGATTTCGCTTCTTATAATAATGAGAAAAAAATATTTCAGAACATTTGTAATAATGTACAAATAATTGAAGTAAGTCGAAATGTGTTAAAACAAATTAATATTTTTGGTATTTTTGGGCTGAAGTATAATTAATTAAAAAACAACATAAAAATTCCATATAAATTGGGCGAAAATTTGAAAAGTAAACGGACCATTTTATTGAAAATGCCAATAATCTGCCTAGGTATTGATGATCTGGCTTAAGACATGCTCAATTTTGCAGTTTTTAATCGGAGTTTTTTTCAATTATTCAAATATTCAAACAATTTTCAAATATTTAAAATAGTATTTCTAAATTTGATTTAAAACGTTTTTGACCATCATAACATATAAATAATTAAAACATGATATAAACGACCCGATAAGCGTGTTCTTATATTTTTAATTGTAAAACCAACAACAACTAACTTCTAAACTGTTATTGCTAATTTCCTAAATATGGTAGAATATTGTTACTGGTTGGTTGTTATTAATATGATGAAAAAAATTATGTAATTTAGGAACAAATATACCTAAAAATAGTCAATCCATTTTTTAGTTAAATTTATAATTAAAATCACTTCGAAAAAGATTATAATTTTAATTTTGTCATCAACGTTGAAATTATAATCTTTTATGTTCTTTTTTTCCTTATTTTTCACACGCGTCATTTGCACATGTTTCTAGACAAAAAATTAATTGTCTTTGGCAATTATGGACCGATATTCGCTTAATTTTTTTTAGCTATTAACTATATTCAAAAATTAAATTTGATAGATATAAAGCATCATCACTTTTAAAAAAATAGTAATATTCTGCTCTAAACTATAAACTCTTGATTACCTCGTTCCACGTCTTAACCTCTGAAAAACACACTTCTAGAAACTTTGTAGTTTTACCATCACTAAAACATTCTTAGGTATTTAAGCTTTGATGGGATTACTTAATAGATGCAGAGCATGTAAGTTATTTGGTAAACGGAAGTGATTTTCGAAAGATCACACTTATTCTACGTGCTCGAAGTCCCGCAGTGGACTGATCGTTAAGACACGTTTCCCAGCAGATCACCGAAGTCAAGCATCACTGGCTGCGGTCAGTGTGCGGGTGGGTGACCACTTGGATCAGTCTGGGTAGGGACCGAGGGTGTGCGGTATTGGTCTTTGCTAAACTGTGCTACCATAAAGTGCTCGACTTCGCGTGCAGGTCGTTGAGCTACCGAAGCAGGGATGCCATCCCCTCTGCGGAGGACCAAAATTGTGATGGCATGTCTTCGGATCATCCTCAGGGATGTTTCCCAGACCGTCGCCACTAGCCCATTGTGCAGCTCTAGTGCGACCTAAATGAACTACAACAACTACGTGCTCGAAAATGCAGCTAATTTTCAATATTATATAATTAAATAATTCTGAAAATATTTTTTTTTCTTTTGATTTAGTAGTTTTGTGATTTGTATGAAGCTTTAAAATTTGTGTTTACGTAACATTTAAAAATAATACAGTCAACAGCATGCCGGTTTATGTATGCTTTATATTAAGGTACATACACACATTTAATAACTTTAACTTTTTGTGTTTTTCCCACACTTTTTACCCCCATGAACTAAATATTTTTTATTGTTTATGTTAAATTATTTTCCATAATTATTTATTTTACTTCATTTGAATAATTAAAATAATTTTGAAACTAAGATTTCATGTAGTAATGCATTGGTATTGCATTTAACATTACATCACATTGTAAAAAAAAAATTCTAAATAATTATTAAATCTATTCATCATTGTATTTAAATAGATCATAATATAACATTATGCATGATCGTTCTTACGTTAGGTGTAATTTAACATTTGAAATGCTTATATTATTTTAATTTGTTAAAACCTGAGGTCCACGTATGTGGACTTAAAATTATTAGCCCCCTGAAATTGTAATTCGTATTTTGTTTACCATACTATGATTTATGACAGTAAAATAGAAATTACCTTATTATGACTTATGGCCCTAAAATAACAAATGTTTGAGACAAATGATTGCCCCGACTCAGCATTTCACACGAAATTTTATTCTGCTCTCATTGGAAGTTCTCTCCTTCCCCCATAACCCATGTCTCCTCCTCCCATATCATAAGGGTCCCGCAGTTGACTGATCGCTAAGACACGGTTCCCAGCAGATCACCGAAGTCAAGCATCTCTGGCTACGGTCAGTGTGCGGGTGGGTGACCACTTGGATCAGTCTGCGTAGGGACCGAGGGTGTGCGGTATTGGTCCTCGTTAAACTGTGCTACCGTAAAGTGCTCGTCTTCGCGCGCAGGTCGTCGGGCTACCGAAGCGGGGGTGCCATCCCCTCCGCAGAGGATTAAAATTGTGATGGCATGTCTTCGGATCATCCTCCGGGATGTTTCCCAGACCGTCGCCAATAGCCCATTGTGTAGCTCTAGTGCGACGTAAATTAACAACAACAACAACCCATGTCATAAGGACACGGATCCCAGCAGAACACCGAAGGTAAGTATCACTGGCTGTGGTCAGTGAGCGAGTGGGTGACCACTTTGATCAGTCTGCGTAGGAACTGGGTGTGCACGGTACGGGTTCTCGGTAAACTGTTCTATCGTAAAGTGCTGGACTTCGCTCGCAGGTCGTCAGGCTACCAAAGCAGGGAAACCTTCCCCACTGCAGAGGATCAAAATTGCGATGACTTGTCTTCGGATCATCATCAAGGATGTTTCCCAGACCGTCGCCAATAGCCCATTGTGAAGCTCTAGTGCTGCGTAAATAAAGTACCTACCTACCTCCTTCCCCCATTTATTCCCTACTTTCACTGTGTCTTTTCTTGCTGATTCTATATTCATTATACACGTGTTGTCCTACAGATAAGAAGCGTTGCAACCTAGTAACATGTCGATTTCTCAGCCATTTCAACTATAAAACAATTTTTATTTATTTGTTTCTAAGTGTGAAGGAAATATGCTTTTGTAATGTTAAAATCAATGATCTAGCTGATACATGCGTAGTTAAAATTGCTGTTTTCTCTTTCTGGCAGATTGGTTCATTCTTCATGATCAACCTGTGCCTCGTTGTCATCGCCACGCAGTTCTCGGAGACAAAGAAACGCGAGATGGAACGCATGCGATTGGAACGATCGACCATGAACTCCAGCAGCAGCATTGCCAGCAACACTTTTTCCGAACCTACGGGTTGCTACAACGAGATTGTCAAATACGTAGCACACCTTACACGGCACGTCACTTTTTATGTTCACAACTGCATAATTTTTTGAATATCTAGAAAAGGCATATGAATAATCTTGTTTTTAACACTCAACATATCATAACCGGTCAAATGACCGTTTAAGAACTTTTACATCGAAAAAACGCTTATCATCTTATCATTTTTGCACATTTGACTTCATGACTTTTTCTAACAATTATATACAGTTAATATTCTTTTAATATATATTTTTTTGTATTTTGTTTGTTTCGAATAATGCTTGTCGTATACCTATTTCTACCACAACCGGTCATTTGACCGGGAGAACAATTTATTGCTTTATATGGTTATCTCGTCAGAAATTACGATGTTATGCGTGTTCAACGTATTGCATTCGATTAGTTGCACATTTCTGCAAAGACTGTTGCGTAGTTAGTTCAATCAGAATAACTGTNATAATTATACGAATTATAATTCTTATAATTCGTATATATTCTTATAATTATTAGAATAATTATAAGAGTTATAGAAATAATAATAATTAGAAGAAATATGTTTGCGGAAAATGTACAATAGAAACACCATGTATATGTAAAAAGTACGTATTCTTTGTGTTTGTAATACATAAAAATTGCCAATATACAATTCTGCTTAATTATAATAAAGTTTTTTCAGTTTATTTCCTTCCTAACATCCATATTTCATACATTCAATCACGAAACATAAAGTCCAATCATTTGACCGGCTATGGCAGAAATAGGTATACATTAAGTGTTGGTATGTTTAGTGTTAATGTATTTTAATTTTTTGATGCTTGAATTTTTAACTTTCAGGTACTAACAATAAGCGTTTTAACCTTTAGCCTAGCAAACATTGACTCATTTATGAAAGATACGCTGTTATATCGCTTAATTTAAATATTATTCTGTCGCTGTCGAAAATGAATCTTATTTATTCATAATATGAACTACAATCTTCATTTAGAATCTAATATTGAGCAAACAAAGGAACGCTAGATGGAACGCCTGCTCTTGGAAAAATTGATCATGAACTTCAGCAGCTTTGCCAGCAACACTTTTTTTTCGAACCTACCGTTAGCTAGAGTTTGTTCACCAGGAGTTGTCACTTGGCTCCACCTCCTCGGGCGTCATTTCAGCGCGGGAGTAAGAGGACAAACGTCTCCGCACTTGAAATAGAGACAACCCTTAACGCGTGCCAAACACTAACAACGAATTCTTTATCAGTCTCTTACTTCGCTTTATCATCTGCTATTTTACCTTTCGTTACTCTAGCTAATTAAATATATTTTAAATTTAAAAACTGCTGTTTTCCCAGCAGAATGTCTCAAAAAGTGAATAGTTTGTAAAAAAAATATTCACTCAAGAGAGAGAAATATCAATAAATTTATGAAATAGTTGATGTCAAAAAAATGCGCTTGAAGATTGCGAAAAAAATATTTTTGTCATACGATCGCCAAATAGCAACCTTGTTCAGGATTGTTCACATCCTTCTCCCAAAAATAGCAAAATAGTATCGTAGGATACCACGGAGACAAATGCCAACTCTTGGTGAACGAACTGTACAATAAATTGTCAATTACGTTGCACATCTCACATGGCATCCATTTTTATATTTAACTTCAATTGCATAAATTTTAAAAAATGAAATGCATTTAGTAATAGTAAATCTTCGCTCATCTGAAAAACTATGTTCTTTATGCGTATCAATTAGCTCTATAAAACAATTTAGGAATAGCTAAAACCAACAGAATATGCTTTTCTCGAATAAGACACATACAGAGATACATATATTTCGATTACGATGCTTGACTTAAAGGCAGATATTGTTTCATTTATGAAAAATAGAGCGTAATGTCCTTTAATTTTATTAATATTTTCTAACTGCAGAAAAAGAAATCAGATTTACCATTCATCAAAATTATGCAACCAGTAATGATTTATTGTCTTTGAAGCAATGCAGAATAAGTCGTAAAATCAACAAAACAGGCTTAAAGCCCAAGAGAGATATTGATTAACCGGGATTCTAGCAATTTGGAGAATTCAACTTATACCATAATTAACGATTATCCTCAAACAACATCCCGAAATGCAGAGAAATCCGCAAATAACGCACTTTTTAGTGGCTTTATTCTGTTGTTTTCTAATGTTCTATCGACGACTTCGGTCACGTGAGCAATATTTAATTGTTTCGAAATCGGAAGTCTGCACCACTAGCACTTTTAACAGCGATAAAAAAAAATTATTATTTTATAAAAATACTATTTTCTTTTATGGTGCTGAAAAGGGGTTTAACATCGTCCACTTTCGAATCCCGTATTCCAAGAAAAAAAAGGAAAAAACTCAGAGGTGAAAACAATCAACTACAAGGAATTCCAAAATAATCATCTGCCTTTTTTATTTAGTCCTGCTGTGCCGATTTTTTATAATGCTCATGTTAGTCTGATTTTTTATGACTTGTGCAATTTTTTTTTGAGATTATGGTTTTGAAGTTAATCTAAGTTGTTCAAATCATTTTAAAGTTTTAACTTAAGACAATATTTAAATAAACTCACCAGCTTAATGCATAACAAAATTAAAAGTGAAAAAAAAAGAATTCAGACAAGTTGAGCCATGATTGCTCAGGGGATAGAGCGTTCGCCTTCCCATGAGGTGCACCAGGTTCGAATCCCAGTGATGGCTGTTCGATACGAATTCCGCAGCCGGCTTGCACCGACCACAGTGCTGACGCAAAATATCCTCAGTGGAAGGCGGATCATGGGTTAGAATTTGACTTCTTTTTTTCCTGACACTTAAAATAGATATTTTCAAAAATAAACTGATGTTGCATTTTAATTTAATACTCAACAATTTGTCTAAATATGAAATAAAATATTTATTCTAATATAAAAGTTTTCAGCTCCGAATAGAGAAAAATATAAGATTAAAAGCATTAAACTAATCAAAGAAAATAATAAAAGAGTTTAATTAGAAATTTTNTGTAAAGCAAATACGGGTTAGTTCCATCGAAAAATCCCCCACGAAGGGAAGTTTCCCCCAATACTTGATCCAGGAGTTCCCTTGTCTTCTGAATTGAGTTCAAAATTACAAGGCTACGGAGATCAACATTAGTAGTCGTGAACCATATTATTGGGTTGGCTGTTCGAAGACGGTTGTGAAATAAAATAAAAAAAATTTATAAAATAAAATAAGGTTTATTTTTAATAAAAGACAGAATGTACTAGCGTGGTCAAAGTAACCTTAATTATACAAACTTTAAACGTTCTTGTGCATAGGATTTAATACTGAGTAATTGTGAAAAATTGAGATAAACTTTACGAATAAATTTATATTTTAAGTATTTAAACTGCTAATAATCATATCATGTAGCTAATTATCATGTACTCAAGACAGTTTAAATTTAAACCTCCTTTTTAGATAGATTAAATAAGAGGATTTTTTAGAACTTCATTAATGAAATTATTTCAACTTNTTATTCTACTCTCTCTACCCAGTATTTCAACTCTATGGTTAGAGTCCCCTTGCTGTCAGGCTAACCGTGGGAGGTTCCTCTCCATGTAAAGCAAATGCGGGTTAGTTCCATCGAAAAATCCCCCACGAAAGGAAGTTTCTCCCAATACTTGATCCAAGAGTTCCCTTGTCTTCTGAATTGAGTTCAAAATTACAGGGCTACGGAGATCAACATTAGTAGTCGTGAACCAAATTATTGGGTTGGCTGTTCGAAGACGATTGTGAAATAAAATAAAAAAAATTTATAAAATAAAATAAAGTTTATTTTTAATAAAAGACACAATGTACTAGCGTGGTCAAAGTAACCTTAATTATACAAACTTTAAACGTGCTTGTGCATAGGATTTAATACTGAGTAATTGTGAAAAATTGAGATAAACTTTACGAATAAATTTATATTTTAAGTATTTAAACTGCTAATAATCATATCATGTAGCTAATTATCATGTACTCAAGACAGTTTAAATTTAAACCTCCTTTTTAGATAGATTAAATAAGAGGATTTTTTAGAACTTCATTAATGAAATTATTTCAACTTTATGATATAAGTGAAGACACATACAGTTTTATTAATAAATATTGACCTATAAGACTGTCACTTGAATATTTATAGAAAAACACTCATTCTGAAGAAACTTCGTGTCAAAAATTATTTCGAAATTTCATGATCCAAAACGCTGCTTTTTCTAATACAATGGTATTTAATAAACACATTTGAGTTTTTTATACGCCGTGGTAGGAAAATTCTTATTTAACAAAGATTTCGATTAGATTTCGAAAGATTAGAAAATTCTTATTTATATTATTAATCTGGAATCATACATAAAGCATGACTTTTGCTACCCCTTTAAAAATCACCCACGAAACAGAAAATATACCTTTTTTTATTCAGTTTTCTGAGAAAATTAATTATTTTCAAAACTGCTGCAATTTCGAAATAAACATTGTTTTTCGATTTGCTGTAGTTGTTACAAATTCCTGATAGATTCAAATAGCACCATTTTGATTATGAAATTTCAAATTGAGCTGCTAATACGTAAAATTTTCAGTTGAAAAGACTGCATAGATAACAAAGCATTTAATAAAAAGTAACCATTTAATAATTCATAGATTTCCTAAAAGATTTCTATCGAATTGTTGACGTTGCAGGTGCGGAAGAAGGCGACTATTGCTTTGGTATAAGCACTTCCGGAGAAAACGACGTAAAGAGGAATGTGGACGGACAAGCATGTCCTTAAGGAGGACACGTAGATCCTCGTCTCAACATCACGGGTCCTGGTCATCATCAGAAAGGAGATCTTCAAAACAACGGAGATCTTCAGCATCCCTTAATGGCAACAGCCAGCAAGGAAATTCCAGCCGGAAAACATCGACCCATGTCCATCCTGTGCCAGAGATGGCCGTCCTCCAGGTTCCGTTCGCGGAGAGCCCTCAAGCTCCATGCGCGAGTCCGGAAATATCTGACATCGATCTGATCGGATCCCCAAGAAAACCCAAACTTGAAATACCTCATCGGGACCAACCCTCCTTCAGTGGCAGTGAATACATCTTCTCCACTGATTCATCAGGTATACTGATTCATCATTATTTGTCATTATTATCATCATTATTTTTCCATTATTGTCATTCATTATTTTCATCTTTATTTTTCATCATTTTTCATCATTCTCTATTCATTCATCAGGTACAATGATTCATTATTTTTCATTATTGTCATCATAATTTTTCCATTATTATTATTCATTATTTTCACCATTATTTTTCAGCTTTGTTTTTCATCATTATTCATCATTCTCCATTGATTCATCAGCTACAATAATTCATTATTTTTCATTATTATAATCATGATTTTTCCATTATTATCATTCATTATTTTCATCATTATTTTTCATTCTCCACTGATCCATCAAGTGCTCTGATTCATCATTATTCATCATTCTCCACTGATTCATCAAGTACTTTGATTCATCATTATTTTTATTATTATCATCATTTTTTTCCATTATTATCATCATTTTTTTCCATTATTATCATTCATTATTTTCATCATTATTTTTCATCATTATTCATCATTCTCCACTGATTCATCATAATTCTTTTTCCAAATATTTGCGTGAATACTGTTTGATTCTCTTTGAATAAATTTCTTTTTTTATGTAGTACCCACGCTACCACAAGATGTACCCAAAGACTACTCTCCTCGAGTGTCCATTTCCCATGAACCCGGAAGGCGAAGAGTATCTAGCGGCAGTTCCAGAAGAACATCACGGCTCACGTGCGCCCAACTACTTGCCCTGAGTGGCACACAAGGTGCCGCTCTGGCCGCCAGTTGCAACTTCGCAGTCCACAGAATATGTTCCGGTATTGGAAGAGGTGAGTTCAAACTCAATTCTCGGTTTATATTTCCGTGAACTCATTCGTCTTACAAAGCCCACTAACCTACACTGGTGTAGTAAATTAAGAGAATGTGCAGACTTGGTCGATTATCTCTAGAACAACAGGACCGATTTTAATGAAATTTGATATGTACATACATTGATACAATGCAAAACAAATAACCATCCAGCAATTGTAATACACACACATGATCGTGCATAACACTCGTTGGAGTCGGAAGATATGAAACAGCGGTTGCAGAATAAACAAAAAAAAATAGGTTAATAGGGGGTATGGTCACCTCTTACAGATATACAGGCCTTGCAGCGTGTATTCCATACTTGAAATAAGGCAGAGTTTATCATTTCCAGTGGCAATTGTCCTGAATTGTGTAGCAGCAATTTTATACCTTCCGACCCCAACGAGTGTTATGCATGATCATGCGTGTGTATTACAATGATTGGATGGCCATTTATTTTGCATTGCATCATCATTGTATTTTGCATTGTATGTACGTATCAAATTTCATTAAAATCTGTTCAGTAGTTCTGGAGATAATCGACCAGGTCTGCAAATTCTCTTAATTTCTTACAACAGTGTATACATTGCTGAGTTTTTGTCTTATGCCACTGGTCAATACTAACATATCAATTTTAAGACAGATGGGTGCTCTTGTTTTCCAGTGGCTCTATCTATGACCAAGAATTCAATTTCTGTGACACACATACGTCACAGCCCATTTTACAGGGAGGACACCATCACGCACCATCCATCCATCCACAGTTCACAATTTTGACCTGAACCAGGGTAGGATCTATCTCCCATTCAGTACCCTCAGAGGTCATCGCTGAATAAAAAATTCAAATTAATTTTTTACAATTATCCTTTGTTTATTCTAAGATAGAAAGCTTACCCAATAAATATTGATAGTTACTTTGTGATTTTCATAAAAAATATTTTATATTGTAAATTATGCGTGAAATTCGTTTTTCTCGCAGAAATGAATGAAATAAAGAAGACAAAGATATTCTCACGTGAACATAAAAACGAACATAATCTATCAAGTTTTAGATGTGGTTGAAGTTAAAACATATTCCATCAAAAAAGAAGGGATTGACCTTTCAGCGCGTTGAGTTTGATTTCTCCTCCCTTATTTTATTGTTCAAGACAATCAATGGAAAAATGACAGCACACTATAAATGATCTGCTGCTGCTTTCAAGAAACTCTGATTTAAAGTTTAAAATTCAGAAAAAAAATTCCTCTTTTGATTTTTTTTTTCATTGAAAATCGTTAACGTTATCTCTCTTTTTATTCGAACAAAAGAATATTAATCGATTTCGTTTTATTCTTCGTCTAATTTTTTTTCTTCCTTTTCTGGTCGTTATTGATTTTAGCAAAGAGCCGAAGCACTCCGGAGCTGGGCAGTGTCTGGAGCTGGAGCTCTAAATTTTTTCCATGTTAATGAGCTGTTTTTGTCCATTTTCATTTTTAGAATAAAAGTAATAATTAATGCCTTTAATTAGTATTTCAATTTTATCAGTTTTAGGGTTTTCTTTTTTTTCAGAGATAGAAAATATCTCGTAAAAAACATGACTTTTACACTACATGACCTGATCTCAACACTCAGCTAAATTTGAATTTTTTGTGTGAGCTGATATTTAATAATTTTATAACCGTCGTTGAACAGCCAACTCAATTTAGGGTTTACGGCTACTAATGTTTAACTCCGTAGCCTTATAATTTTGAACCCAATCCAGAAGACGAGGGAACTCCCGGATCAAGTATTAGGCGAAATTGGCCTTCGTGGGGGAGAACTTTTTGATGGAACTAAATCGCATTTTCGTAACGTGGAGAGGGAAAACAAAAGAACCTTCCACGGGTAGCCTGACGGCAAGGAGACTCTAACCCATGATCCGTCTACCACTGAGGATAATTTACGATAGTATTGCTGTCGGTTCGAGCCGGGAGCGGAATTCTAATCGACCAGCTATCGATGGAATCAAACCCGTGTCACCTCATTGGGAGGCGAGGGCTCTATCCTCGTGCCACCACGATTCGCATGATTTCTACAATGTTGTTTTCGAAAGCTATTAAGGCATAAGGGGAGCGATTGCTCCTGTTTCCCAGTGGCGCCATCTGTGGCCCCAAGAATTCAGCCTCTGCCACACGCATGGTTCACACTTCGTTTATAGGGCGGACCCAATCATACATCCATTCATTCACAGATCGTAATTTTGACCAGAGACAGAGAACGATTAATCTCCAATCCAGAGCCCCCAGTAGAAAAATTTGCTATGGGAACATGGAGGACTTTGTGAACTGACACATTTAACATGCACTAGTCATTTGCACTGCACGGGGAGTCTTCGGCCGGCTGGATTCGAACTCCAGCTGTGAGTCCAGCGTCCTACCAACTAGGCTATTCCAGGCCATAGTTTTATAATAAAAACTAATTAAAACCTGGAACACAAAAGCGCAATGCATAAATATATTGCAAAATTGCCGTACCTCATTCGTGGGGGGGGTTGATTTGTTAAACTTGAACATTTTAAGCTGACACAAAACTCATCACACAGGTTAGCTACACAGCTGTACCTGAGCATAGTTGTTCCCAAGATATACCAAGACGCGACGCAAGCACTCGTTGCGACACACGCGACACCTATTACTGTGGACAATAGAATGGCCTTTACTTAAAAAGCAGCCTTTAGAAATGATACATTTTTGGTTCCTATCTATCATATTTTAATTTTTATTTTCATTTCTAAAAGTTCATAACTGCACAATTTCAATTTTTAAAAATAAATATTAAAATATTAAACTTTACTCCCTGCCCATAATTTTTAAATTGTAATTTTCAATCTTCAATTGTAATATTCAATTTTAAAAGAACATTAGCTAAAATACGCAATTTCATCTTTTTTTTTAAATAAATATAAAAATTATAATTTTTATTTCTTTCCAATCGTTTCTTAATTTTAATTTTTGATTTTGAAAGTTTATTATATTTGGCGTCAAAGAATATTACTTTCATAAAATTTATTTTATTAAACAAATATTCTTTATAACTTTACNGTTGCGACACACGCGACACCTATTACTGTGGACAATAGAATGGCCTTTACTTAAAAAGCAGCCTTTAGAAATGATACATTTTTGGTTCCTATCTATCATATTTTAATTTTTATTTTCATTTCTAAAAGTTCATAACTGCACAATTTCAATTTTTAAAAATAAATATTAAAATATTAAACTTTACTCCCTGCCCATAATTTTTAAATTGTAATTTTCAATCTTCAATTGTAATATTCAATTTTAAAAGAACATTAGCTAAAATACGCAATTTCCTCTTTTTTTTAAATAAATATAAAAATTGTAATTTTTATTTCTTACCAATCGTTTCTTAATTTTAATTTTTGATTTTGAAAGTTTTGCGCCAAATAATTTTACTTTTATGAAATATATTTTAATAAATAAATATTCTTCATAGTTTTACTATTAAAATGTTCAAATATTTATGAATAATAATTAATGTTAAATGTAAACACTCAATAATTATAAGATTAACTACTTTATTAAGGATATGAATAAAACAAAATATTCAGCAGATATTATCTAATATTATAAACTATTTTGGGAGATATTTAATTTATTTCTTACTCCAAAATAAAATTCTGGACTAAAATCCCTTAATTTTAAAAGATCTTTTTTCGAATATTCTGAATTTTGTAAACGAGAAAAAAACTAACGAGATTTAATATTAAGACAATTAATTATACTAATTAACTCCACAAAAACTGTACCATGTTCTCTTAAAATCTTTTGTGAATACAATTTAGCTGAATAAAAAAAAACTTTAATTAGGTATCGATTTGCTAAGATGTTTTCTTCTTTAAAAATTGTAAAAAAACAAAATGTATGTTTTCTACATTAAGTTTTTATTCTTATTGTTGTTGTTTAAAAAATGCCTTCAAAAATGATTTTGTAATAAATTTAATGAAATATATTGCTATAATTAACTTGGGATACATAATCTTTCTTTTATAAAGATATTAAAATGTATTTACTTGAATCTGGAAAAAAAATTATAAAAATCCTTTTTGATAAAAAGGAATTTTAAAGGTTAGTTTATGAGTAATATATAATTTTTAATATTCTTTTTTTCTATTTGGATGTTTTCTCGAAAAAATATAAAAATCAAGACTAAATTACGGTTTTAAGGACTTTTTAACGTGATGGCGAAAAATTTAATTTTCTTGGAAATGTTTAAAAATAAATATAGTGTATCACAATTAAATATGACATGGAAGGAGACGTTCGTTTTCCGTCTTATTAAGAGTTAAAGTGGTTGGCTGGTTTAAAAAAATTTCGATTATTATCGAATTAAAATAAATCAAATTTATAGTAAAAAATTTAAATTTAGTAGTTTATTAATTTTTTAGATTATTTTCATTAAATCCGCAGTTAAAGTCTGTATAAAACTTTACAAATCTTTTGAACGATATCCTCACTGATCTAAAACCACTGAGTTGTTTCTCACCAAACCCAGACTTTCAACCATATTTTTATTCTACCTAATTTAATAAATCTTATAACAATAAAATCTTATAAAATATCTCATAACAGAACATTTTCCTTATTAACGAATGTAATTTGATAGGGGAATTAAAACGTCATATAACTCCACTCCGTAAACGTCCACTTGAAAATTAATTTTCTCTGTGCATTTATATACCCATAAAAATTTACAATACATACAAATTACTGACAAGTTTTGTCAACTAGATAGAGAAATAGCTTCGATTATAGTACAGTGTCATATAAGCAAAGGGTGTCCCAAAATTAAAGCAAGGTTTGAATTAAATATGAAATACAGTGTTTAGTCATTAGATTGCTATTTTTTTCATTGAATTGCGGGATTAGCTGTTATTGACAATGTCAACCATCATCTATGAAATGGTACCCCACCTTAGAATCGAGTTAACATGTCTTATAT